CTTCCCTGTTGTTCCTTTTATCTCTTGACTCCCTGCTTTAGCATTCCAATCCCCTATAATGAGAAGAACATCTTTCTTTGGTGTCAGTTCTAGAAGGTGTTGTAAGTCTTCATAAAAGTGGTCAGTTTCAGTCTCCTCAGCATTGGTGGTTGGTGCATAAACTTGGATTATTGTGATGTTGAAAGGTCTGCCTTGGATTCATATTGAAATCATTCTATCATTTTTTAGATTATATGCCATCACAGCTTTTCCCACTCTTTTGTTGACAATGAAGGCTACTCCATTTCTTCTACGGGATTCTTGCCCATAATAGTAGATATGATAATCATCTGAATTGCATTTGCCCATTCCTGTCTATTTTAGTTCACTGACGCCCAGGATGTCAATGTTTATTCTTGCTATCTCCTGTTTGACCACCTCCAGCTTCCCAAGGTTCATAGATCTTATATTCCAAGTTCCTATGCAGTATTTTTTCTTTGCAGCATCGGACTTTCCTTTCACTTTCAGGCACGTCCACAGCTGAGCATCCTTTTGGCTTTGGCCCAACCACTTCATTAGCTCTGGAGCTACTTGTCATCCACTCTTCCTCAGTAGCATGTTGGACGCCTTCCAACCTGAGGAGCACATCTTCCACCATCATATCTTTTAGCCTTTTGTTTCTGTTCATGGGGTATTCTTGGCAAAGATACTGGAGTGGCTTGCCAATTCCTACTCCAGGTGGATCACATTTAGTCAGAACTCTCCATCATGACCTCTCCATCTTGGGTGTCCCTGCACAGCATAGCCCATAGCTTCTCTGAGTTACTCAAGCCAAATGAACAATAGTTGATATCTATATTCAGGGTTCACTGATTTTCACCCTGAAGCTCACTTACAATTGTTTATTAGATTGCAAGCTCGCCCCCACATTAAAATTCCTATACATTTCCATGTGCATTTTTCTAAACACAAATTCTGTGCACATTTTTGAAATGTATGCATTTGACCACTTTTGCCTAAAATCTATTTCTCTATATTAAAATATATGAATTCTTTCACACACATTTATTAAATACCTTTTTGCATGTGACTCAGATTGCATTCAGGTCCACTGTGGAATACAAGATATTGTGGTCAAAAGAACTGGACTGCATTTAAACAAAATAAAAATAAAAACAGAATATTGTGTCATAGTAATATATGTATTTTCTTGGCCTTTCCCAATAATTTAGTATTTCGTTCACTGTTGCAGTCAAATCATTCCAGGTGTCCTTCTTGCTGTTGCAGTCAATGTTGCAACATTGGTTGACTTGGTGGCCTTCCTTTCGTTCCTTATACTGAGTCAGATCACAGGTATAACCAAGAGGGACCTACTTCACAGAATCCAGACTTCATTCCTGGACCAAACACACAAAGATATTCTGTATTCTGCAGTACATGAAAATGCCTTTCCAACATCAGAACTTAAATATCCTTAGAAATCATTTTGGAGAGTAAAAGCCAGGTAGCAATACTTCACATTAATCATTTTATTCATCATTCTAAAACAAATATTCCCATAATCTGAATAGTTCATTTCCCCCATATTTTTTTTGGAAAGCAACAACAGCCATCTCTTTGAGAATATGAGAAACACTTTTCCCTGAAATTTTTCATCCTCCTCCTGAAACTTGAACATGTCTAACTTTAGGGTGTCAGAAGACAGTTTATCCTCAGGTGTACGTGTGTGAAATTAGAGGTTCTGTCCAAAGGAATATCGTCAGTATATATTGAATTTCATCTGCCATTCTGTTGTGCAGGTTCTCACCTACTTTGGGACAATCTTCTTGGTCATATATGGTCACAATCATCTTTTAATGTTTTATGCAGCTTGGTTACACTTTCTCATGGTTTGTCACATATATTTTGTGGTGTGTGTGTGTGTGTGTGTGTGTGTGTGTGTGTGTGTGTGTGTGTGTGTGTGTGTGTGTGTGTGTGTGTGTGTNGTGTGTGTGTGTGTGTGTGTGTGTGTGTGTGTGTGTGTGTGTGTGTGTAAAAGATAGTATTAATATCAAACAAATCTTCATGGATATCTTCACTGTATATTTCCTTCAGTGGTAAAAACTGTTTCTAGGTAATTCCAGAATACTGGATTATGTGAATATATAATTCTTGTAAAAGCATTTTAAAGGTTTAATTTTTTTCTAAAAGTTGTTTGTTCTTGTGTTTCTAATTGAAAATGCTGAAGAGACAGTTAATCCAATCACACAAATGGCAATCTGTGTGATCATAAATATATGTCATTCTCCTGGTGAAACAACCTCGATTTAGAGTCTGTAAAATTTCAGCAGCTAAGAAATCTCCATTGGGTTGTAAAATTCTCATTGAGAACATCAGATTTTCCTGCAAAGACTAAAACAGAGAATATGGCCTCCAGTCGCACTTTCATCCTGGGGTTTTAGTAATATTAGCAATTTTATTCTATCAGTTTGTGAGCCTCAGGCAACTATGCTTTGCCTTCAGTTCAGGGACTTCGAGGGTTTTTTCATACAGTGTTGGAAGGGCAAACATTTATTGCACTATAGTTCTTTATTTGGTTATCTGAAAGAAGTACCTATGTTTCAACATACCACTGAATTATAAGTGACTCGTCTCTAGACATTGATCACCAGAGGTATGGATAACAGTTTTACATGTTAAAGTTCCAAATGTATGAAGCTTGACTGCTAAGCACTACAGGAACTATAGTTGTGTGAATCGTTCCAATTCATTTGAAGTATTAAGTATTATCTTTTATTTGGGACAGGACTATAAATGATACAAATAATAAGGAAAAAGGACATTCTGAATCAAGAAAAGCTGTGTTCTGCAACTTGTACAAATCCTACAAAATAAGCAAATTTGCATCATGTATTTAATATGCATATTATTTCCTGCTTTTGTTAAGGGAAATTTACATAAGGCATTGAAGCATGAATCAATAAAAATCCTACTTAGAACCTTCTGAGATTTCAGTAGAATTGTTTATACAATTTTAAATCTGTGTTTCCATCATTATAAGTTTTTAAAACTGAAAGAAGATGGAAAATATAAGTTCCCTGCTTAATTGCAATAGATTATCTTGTATCTTCTTTGGTACTAGATGGAATTATAGAAATGAACTATGGAGTATCGCTAATGCAGCATTATTTCCTTTTTTCCCTAGCCCCCTGTGAAGCCAACACATTCTTTTGCCATAGTAATATGTGTATTAATAATACATTGGTCTGCAATGGACTCCAGAATTGTGTGTATCCATGGGATGAAAACCACTGCAAAGGTAATATGCAACTCTGATCTTCACTGTTCCGCTAACCATTCAGAACAGAAATCCACTTCTCTTTTTTATTTAACTATGTGCCCACATTTTTTTTTCAATGACATCCAAGGAATGGCTACTTCTCTAAGTCTATCTCACCATGTGTGGAAACCCCAACCATATTTCACGTTTCTTAAGAGAAAATGGAAATACAACAAAGAGTCATCAAACTAGTTTCTTTATTTGCGAAACCACAGGCTATTTTATGTGCCAAAAAGTTCTCTGAGCAATTGGAACAATTAGGATTCAGGGAACATCTGCTTGGAGTCTGCACCATAACTGAGGGCAAAGCAGAGGGCAATCGCTTTTTCAGGCTGCGACTCGTAGAATCTCATAGCTGGTGGATTCTGGAAACTGCAGGAAGAAAAGAAAAAAAACACAAACCACCCCAAAACCTTCCCAAGCCCTAGTCAAGGATGGATGCTGGCATTACAATCACACCTAAACCGTGTGTGGGACACGTGATACAAATACCCTGTTACAACTATGAAATCAGGAGAGAGTGCAGATAAGTAATTTATTTTAATGTTGATCTGGCTCAAGCTATTTCAGACTTTCTATGACAAAACCAAAACACTGGCCTGATAAAGGTGGACAAGGGGGGAAGGACTGAGTTTTTTTTCCCCGCAGGACATAGTATTGAAAAGAAAAGGAAGCTCAAGCGTTCTATTTGTGTATCTTCTTTTGCTTCTCCCTGTTCCTTTTATAACAATGACTTCATTCATGTCTCTGCAGAGAGGGGTGTCCTTTTAATGTAGATAAGGCCTGTGCATTTGTCCCTGTGTTATATGCAAAGCTGCCCTTGGTTTCATGATAAAAATGACTAGAAAAATAGCAGAAAGGCCCATTCCTTTTACACTTGTGTGGGGAACAAAAGCCAAATAATAAGTCCCCAGATAAAAATCGAGTTTGTGCTTGTAGCTAGCTGTATTGCATTAAATCTAATTCTCCATATCTGGGTGATTTGTAATGCAAAGAAACGGAAACAAAAAGCCCAGGGCCAAAGCCTGTGTCATATAGAAAATATTGGCCACAGGTGCTTTTGTATAGCTAGTTCATTTTTGAACCATGTTTCTCTCCCCTCCTCCATATAAAGGTATTGAATAACTCTTCATTCTCTGCTCCATATCATTAGTTTTTTGTAATTTCTTGTTTATTTTTTTAAATAAACAAATGAAGCAACTAAAACTACAGTGTCACGCAATGTAATTAAGTTAAACAAAACCATCCATTCTCATTTAAGGCGTGGCTAGTGCTGTGCCCAGAGAGGCTAAATCAAGTCTCAGGCATTTAAATGCCATCTTTTGGTTAATGGACGGGGTTGGGGTAAGCTGAGTGCTATATACTCACATGTTGAATAAATGGCAGCCAAAGTTCTTTGAATTTGCCTTTTTGATTTACACTTCGTAATATCCTTAATGTATTTGTTAGTCTGTCCATAAGGATTGCCACATCCTTTTCAGCTGAGAGCTGATATCGAGATCACGTAACAATTCCCATTTATAAGCCATTTCTAATCTTGCTGCTGTGAGCAAAAGACCTATCAAAACTTTGTGTAGTAGTCCTTTGTTTTCACCAGTGAATACAGAAAGCAGTTGTAAAACAGCACATTTCTCTACTTTTTGGTCTATACTGTCAGATAGTAGCTGGAATTCAGTAGTAAACTGCCACTAGAGTAGGCCCATTGAATCAGTGGACCTTATGTAGGAGTTAACTCACCAAGTCCTGATTCAATGGATTTTACTGGCTTTCAAATACAATATTTATTATTTCATTCCAAAAACTGGCTACTTTGGGACATGGCATCCACATATGTAAAAATTCCTTCCTTTCCACAGCCACTCCAGCACTTGGTGAAAGCTCCCATACAAACTTGGCTAACTTCACAGGACATAGTTTGTGCTCTACTTTTAGTATGTTTTCTTCAAGGGACACCCATCTAGTTCTGGAGGTTAAGAAGGGCCAAATCTGGTCCTCATTTGGGCTGGAAGTTCCATTCGTAAATCTGTTGCCCAAGACAAATCTGGCACCAGGGGAAAGATTACAGGTTCGCTCCATTAGCCAGCTGTATATCCATGTCATCAGTCTTTTGGTGTTCTTCATTTGTGTTACACAAAAGATTCTCAAGTAGGATAAGGGAATGCAGTGCTCCCTGCGACTGTACTAAATGTTGAACAAAGGCAAGGATTTGGACCTTCTGAAACAAAATGGGCTTTAAGCCAGTGAACTGGCTTGTTAGCTGTATATCACTCCATGTTTTGCCATTACTAAATAAGCATCTCAGTCTAAATATACTTTTCTCCTTCAGTTTCTGAAATTACAAAATTTTCCATGAGTGGAATTCCGGGAGAATCAAACTAAGGAAAAGGGGAGATAAGAGAATAGCCAGAAGTTTCACCCTCCATTGCCAAAATTCAAACATAATGATAAAAATTCAGATATTTGCTATTCAATTGAATTTGCATTTTGTGATGGGAATTGAACTACACTTCTGATGTCTTACTTTGAGACCTCCAGTGTACTGAGTGGTTTTCTCTGGTAAACCTAATTCATTACTTGATATGGAAAGAATTATAGCAGAGGCTTCTATTGGGTCTTGCTGAGAATCCCCAGGGTGCCAAGTTATGCACAATTTTTATACATCTTGGACATTTGTAATTCTGGAATTTGTAAATCTTGGAGATTTAGAAAACAGCCAACCTAATATTCCAAGTGCATTGCTTCACTTAAGGAAGCCATTCATACATTACATATCTAAGAAAGAACCAAATTAAAAACAAATGAATCAATAGTAATTAACTAAGGGAATGGGCAATGAGGAGAAATGCAAGCCCTCACCAAAGAACATACACATACTAAAGATTTACATCCTGTAAAATCAAAGCTTGCTAATTTACAAAAAAAAAAAATGTTGAGAAACTCTTCATGCAGTATTCCTGGATGATCAGCATTTCAGATCATTTAGAAAGTTATAGGAAAGCAATATTTCATTTTTGATGCTCTTAAAGCATTTGAATTTAGGATAGAATAGCCCTACCTTTTGCTCAGTAGTTTAGGTACCTGGCTGCAGAGCCAGCAGTTGGGTGTTCAGTTTCCCACTGTGCATCCCAGAAGAGCCAGCCTGTATGGCCTTAAGCAAGCTGCACAGTCACGGGGCACCCCCAGAAGAAGGGAATGGTAAAGCACTTCGTAGTGTTCTCTACCTGGCAAACTCTAAAAAGAGGTGTCAAAAGTCAAAGTTGATTTGAAGACACATCATCATTAAAAAAGATTACATTTTGATCCAGCTTTTTGTAACCTGTAAAAATATGCCACATTAGCTCCTCAGCATTAATGCATTGTAAAGAATTTGAAGGCATGGGATAGGTTGTTTGCATCTTTATTAACAATCAGATTATTTTTCTGTGATTGCTATGTACATGTTTGTGTGCACTTTGCTTTGCAGTGGAAAAGCACAGTAGAGATGTTTTGAGCAAATTACAAAGACTGGGGGGAAAGAGGTCTTTATCTCACTGTTGTATGGAAGCAAGGAATCTTGCAGGACATTAATGGGGTGTGTTGTCCTGTTGACACTGCCTACATTGTCAAGATCAAGAAATTTAGCATGCATTCTTTCTGTCCTTATTCATTAGGCATGCAAAGAGGTTCAAATGTAGACATATTTTTCAGAGCATTGTTACTTGGGCAACCTATGAGGTCTCATAGAGTCTTGTTTCCATAATGTCTATACACTTAGCAAGGATACACAAAATGGTAAAGTTACTGATATAGAACAAAACCTATACAGTATAGGCTTTAATGGGAGCTGGAAATCCTTTGGAAAGTGGTGCTGATTATGTTTTCAGGTTTTCATTAGTCGGTTGTAAGAACCTGAAATTAATCTGAAGTAGCAACAGATGCAGCCTACTGGGACATAGAGAGCCATTATCAAAGAGCTTGTTGACCAGAAGTAAAGGCGCCTGCCAACAAGTCAGTGGGGTCTCGGTATTTATTCTAAAAATGCATTTCATTTCAAAGCTGTGTCTCCCAGGGATATCAAACTGAATTAAAAGTTGAAATATATTCACAACATGCATGAAATGCTGTGTAAATGAAGGCCTTGTTCTTGACAACTGGCAAATTTCACCAGCTTATTCCTTTTTAAAATTAGGAAATATAAAGAACTTCCAGCAGATTCAAAATATGGTTGTCATACTGATGACAGGTGCCAGCAGATATGAACACATATCCCCAGTCTTGGCATGCCTTCATGCAGTCCTGTGCCCAAATCAAGGTGTTAGTGGTAACCAATATAGCCCTTAAAGAGTTATCACCTTGATACTCATTGGAATGTCTCTAGTGCAAAATAGCTGTCCATCCTACCCATTACTCATAGTCCTTGATGCTAAGAATCATGACACCTAAGAAAGGCAAAAGAGCTAAGATCAGGAACTGTGCTTTTTCAGTCATGGCTCCTTCCCTCTGGAATAAGATGCCTATACACGTCCGTCAGGTGCCATCCCTCTCACTTTCAGGATGTTAATTAAAACTGAAAACTGCCTATTGACCTGGGATGTCCAAATTTATTTTAAATTTATTCACTTTATTTAAATGCAGGTTGTATTGATTCAGCTAAACAGGGTTTTTAATGCTTTTATTACCTTTATTGTATTTTCCTGCTGTTTGTATGACTGTAATGGTGTTCTAATGGGTTGTGAACTGCCCAGAGAGTGTTCATATTGATGTAGCAGTATAGAAGTTGATTTTATTTATTTATTTACTTATTTACTTATTTACTT